CTGGAAGCTATAAAGGAAAAAAATGAGGTAGGTATATGTTATTCGAATTTCGATATTTTGCCCTTAGTATAGTTTGAATGATACTATCATGTCATCATTATCATTTTACTGTCAACTGAACGCGGCTTGCTAATCATCATTGTTATTCAGGAGGAACTTGAAAGTGACTTACAAGATCTAAGACAGAAGCACCTTGATATGAAAATTCATCTGGAAGATGTAAGTTGTGTAACAACATTCAGACTCTTTTGTCGCAATTTAATATGCTCCTTTTCACTAAACACAAATGTTCTATTTTGTATGACAACGTTTCTGTAAGTAGATGTATCAGTAGTTTTGACATTTAAATTCCTTGAGATAACTCAAATAAGCAAACACTGAAATGAAAAAAAATCTCCTCACCTGACGCTTATTTTATAAAGAATAAACTGTAATTGTGTTCTTAGAGGTTATACACTAAAGCAAATATGTGAAATGAATAGCCGATTTGCATTATGGCGTCATTTACTATAACTACCAGAATGCTTTGCTAACTTTCTTTTGTAATGCAATTAGTCTCGATTGTTTTATTAATCTCCAAGGGGATTAAAAATCTGAATAACAAATAACGCAAGGCTCTCTGGTAGTTGTAGTAAAGTTACGCCATGATGCAAATGGCCTTTTGAACTGCGGTTTCACGTGATTAATCGGGAATTACTGATGAACAGKCAATAGAAGAGTGTCGACAACTGAAAGGGAAAATATCAGTGCTTACTGAGGTCAAGATAAAAAACGAAAAGGTATGACTTTCTTGATAAACGTTCTGTCATTTTGATATTTGTATTCACCTTAATATTTTTTTTAACACAGACTATACAAGAGCTCCAGACAAAAAATAACGGTCTTGAACGAGATTTGAAAAAATGGAAAAATCTTTATTTAGATGCAACGGTGCTGACTCAAGCCAACTGTATAAAAGAGAAGGTGTGGTCCATGGTTGACATTTTCTATCGTTTCCCGCCCTTCCATAATTCTTATT